TAGCTTTAGCTGGAAACAACAAACTGCCCCTCCCCAAACCTTACACCGTTACTATGGAGACCCAACGTCCTCTCCTGTGATTGGCTCTTCAGTTCTCTGCAGATACAGAGGGACGAGTCAAAGCACTGTTAACACTTCCTGTGGGTGTTTCACAGTAAAGGTCTCCCACTGCCTCCACATTTAGATGCCTGTATGTTGAAACACATGAGGAAGTGTTGAGTTGGTCTGATCAGTAGCTGTGTGATCATTTACTCACTGCAGTTAATCATTTATGATCCATAATGTTTTACACATCAGCTGACTGCTTTTAATAATTAATAATCTCTTCTTCAATTCAAACTTTATTTATTACTGATTTTATCCTCTCATCACATTCCTCTTTAACTATACTGCCTTTGGTTTCTCTATCTGTTGTCTGTAAAACACTTTGAATCCTCTTATTAATCTCAACATTAATCATGAAACAATATGAGTCTCTGTTAAATGTGACTCATTATAGAGTTGATTTCTAAAGTGCTCGCTCCCAGTGTTTGTACAGTGTGTCTGTGGTGACAGTAGTGACTGTTGTCATTGGTATAAAAGTATTGACTGCCCTCTAGTGGTCACAGTCAGGAGCTGCACTCATACGTCCCTCAGTTGGAATAATACACAGATTAATATTATTAATATTCTGACAGTTTCTCTCTGAACAGAGTCCTCTTACGGTCCAATCACCAGAATCCAGATGAGTTGGACTTTTTTGGCGTCACCTTTTATATTGATGTTTTTCTTCCTTCAATAAGGTATTTTAACAGTGATATAGTATAGTAGTAGTAGTAGTATAGTATATAGTATAGATGGTAGATGTCCTCACAGTGTTGCATGATGAGAGAATACTGCTGTAACCTTTGTTTTCCAGTAAAGATCATTATTGAAGCAGAGTGGTGCCTCTGTAGACTGAACAGGTCAGATTATAGAATGTTCAGCTGATCAACAGTCATTATAGAAAGCTCATAATAATCATATAATACATCATATTTGTCCCAGTAAGGTTTATTTTATTCAACAGCACCACCTGGGAGAGAACCTGACATGAGTGTTGTAACAGGGCTGAGCAGTAGAAATTATAGAAATGAACAGACGGAAACCAAGTTAAGTCATTTAAATATATATATATTCCTTCAATATTTCTATTATAGCTGTCAGTGCATCCTTCACCCTTTCTTCAGCGGTCCCCAGTATTGGTATGAGTGGGAATTCATATCCGGAATCACTTATAATCCAACAGTGACATTTTACTTCCTTTGATGTTGTCAGAACTGGTGTGGTAGGCAGTGTCTAACCCATCCTAACATGACTGAATGTACTGTAATATCTACTGCTGGGAGATATAACACAGTTTGAACTGAGGACATAATCCTCTTTTAAACAATAAAAGGTCCTCATTAAAGAAACATACTTAATCTTACTTACTAATCATTTGAGACAACATTTAGGACTTTTGATTGATTGATTGATTGCTTTTATTTATGGATTATCAGACACAAAAAACAAAAGTGACAACACTTATTTCTGATATGGTCCCAAGATGTTAGAGGACACAATGAGGGAAGACATTTAACATTCAACAACAATCCTGAAATCAAAATTAATGACGTCTTTGCTGATTTCATTCATCAATCTGTTGCCCTGATCAATAAAACACTAAAACCTCTGACTTCTATCAGCCGCTACCTTATTTGACTGGATGTGTAACTGACGCACACTGAACGCATACTGGCCCAGATATTATAGTATGGACCATTGCTATCTGAGAAGTACTGAGGAACATACTCATTGATACTATTGTACATATGATTCAGTTTCTGTTGTTCCACTCTGAGCACTCCGAGCTGTCTGAATTCATCACTACCAATGTTATTGATTAATTATTAATTATGAATATTACATTTAATAAGTACAGTATTGTTTTACATCACCTGTAGTATTTTCCTAAGTTTAACCCGTCAAACCAAGCAGTACACACATAATCGAAATGACATTGTATCAATGATGAAAATTAATGAAAATACAAAAAACAAGACACTTTGTTCAAGAGGATTTATCCTGTTTTTCCAATGATTCTAAACATATTATCTATGAGCCACTAATTGCATATGTTCATAGAAATTATCATTCGTTACAGCAACAGATTAAAAAAACACATAAAATATGTCTGATTTCAAGTTAAAATTATGTTTGTATCCTAACCATGTACCATAGTGATTTCTCCTCGATTTCCAGGTGCACCATGATATAAGAGTAGAAGATCTTCATGTTCACCAGTCACACTGTAAAGAAATAAATTAAGTCCGTCAACTGCTCACCATAATGCAGTAAAGTATGTAAAGTATACAGTGTAGGTGGTCTCTTAATTTTCAGTTAATGTATTTAATTTTTTATTTTTTTTTAAACTCTCCCACAGACTCAGGAGGAAGTGCCTGCACACATCTCCTTAGTGGTAATGAGCATTTATGGTTTGGGGCATTTCAGATTAGAGCTGCAACAATCAGTCAATTAAGCAATTAGTTGTAAATTATTTAAATTAAAGGCATACTATGCAGTTTTCCGTTTTTTTCAAACAGCTACCCCTAGAGTCGCTGCGGAGTACTTGTATTTAACGTTAATGTTCGTAGAATACCAGGCTGTCACCCAGAGCCGTCTCTATATACGTCCCTCCCGCAGCTTTGCGTATCGGGGATGATGTTGCTATACTACAAGTTTCGTTTACCATCGAACATGACTTTGAGAGCTGGTTATATTGGTAAGGTAAAAACTCTCTGGTATAGTATGCTGTAACTAAACTGAAATATTAGGAATTAGCTATTTTGAATTTATTAGAGTTCATTTTTTTTTTTTATTAAATCTAAATTGTTTCTGATTCCAGTTCTCAAAATTGAGACAGTGAGTTCTAATGCAAGAGACCTGGGGGCGGTCCGACAGACATGCTTGAGTATATGTTTTTACCAATTTAACGGTCAGGTGGGCTTTTGTTGTACTCAGTGGGCGCGTAAGTTCTGTTCCTTGCACCCAGTCTGGGAGGTTCTTTGCCATTGCTGGCAGGCACGGCCTTGAATTGCGGTCTATTACAGGTGCGGGCAGACTGCACTGGTGTTGCCTCTTCTCCATATCCCTGTCCTGCGCCTGGTTTGAATAAGACTAATTCTGAATAGCATACATTCTCAGTATGATGGACCATGCTACGGTATATTGTACGCTTATTTTAGTATCAGTATTAAAGATGTGATCTCACTTTTTCTTTGAGTAGGAGGTCCGGAAGACTTGGTTCCTGTATAGATCGTTTTGATCATTGTAGGCCCTCTCTGTGTTGTGATGCCATTCAGTAATGTGGTTGGTAAGATCTGTATCTGTCATGACTCTCTTGGGTTGAAGCACATTGGACCATCGCTCTACCATCTTTGTACTGTGTTGCTGAAAGCTTTTTTCAAAAGTGGCAAGTCTGGTTTTACTCATCTGGTTGTTCTGAAAGTCTTTGAAGTTCTTGGTGCCATCCAATTTGAATCTTGGCATAGAGCCAATAATCGTCAGTTTGAAGGTGCCCACAACATCATCATTGCTTATGGCGCTAGCTAAACGGTTTCTATAGTCTTTTGACTTTGTACTGGGAAACTCAAGATGTAACTCTTTAGGCACTCGGACAGTCAGAAGTTCAAGGCCATGATATCTGTGCACATTACGAATCAGGTTGTTATCCAGAGGAGATGAGTTTGTTCCCACTTCAAGCATGGCTACTGCTAATCTGCTGTTCTGGTTCAGTTTTATAGCTTCTAACATACTACTCACTGGTGGCTGGTGATCTGCAATGAGGAACTGTCCAATTCCTGAATTGTTTTTTTTTTTTGCATAGTGTTTCCATTCTTTGTATAAATCTATTTTTCCAACCTCTTTCTTAAGTACCTTTTTGGTTTCTTTTATGGTGTTTTTTCGTGCAGCTCCCTCTGCCATGTACCAGTCCCCTCCTCTGATGGCTTCAGTCCACTCTTTACGTTTGATGAAAGGCTCCCATTGGCCTGGGTGTCTGAGGAGAGTGTCAGCCTCCACAGATCGGAGGCGGTTTGCTTCCAAAGCAATCTCTACTTCACTGGCTTCTGGTTTCATGCCTCGTGCCAAAGCATGAAACAGGCAACC